TGCGTTAAATCCTCCTATCCCTAACCTTGCATCAGATATGCAATCTACTGTACGACGCCATCTCCTCGTATTTTGTGCAGCTGAGTTTCTAATTCCTTCTATGCAAGTCTAGTGCTCATTATACGAGCCGAGGACTGCGCAAGCCAGAGCTGCGGTTCATCTCACCGATTTGTCAGCAAGTGTGGGAGTACCTTTGCATTTACTGTGGAAAAGACTTGATTGAACGCTTTTTTCCACTGGAGAAGCATTCGACCCTAAGCATGGCGGAATGACCGAGGGAGATTTGGAAAAAACGCAAACTGTGGGAAGTATTTCTACAAACGAAGGGCCCAGAAAAACTTCAAGAATTTGGACATCAACTAAATGTTTGCAAAAGAATCTTCCACGAAACCCGTGTCTCTTATGAACTAAGGCTCCTGGAAGAGGCACCCTAAAAGCCCAAAGCATTATATGCCTATATCAGATGTAATATAAAGAACTGTAACCATCTTGCAACCCTTAAAGCCAAAAACAACCAAGATTTGAGCGATGGCCCCCAAAAAGCCGGGCTTTGTTTTCAGAATTTTCCAAAGTCTCTATTATCACGGAAGCGTCTGTCTGTCACCTACTGTCAACGGCCCACTTATAAACACTGCAGTTAGTTTTTGCAGCGGTAAAGGAATTGGATCCGGTCAAGTCACCTGACCCGGATGCGATCCCATATATCTCTTCCGAAAATAGTTCGAAGCTGATAAACTTATTTATACATGGATGGACGTTGGCGAATGTCGTACCCATCCAAAAGGGAGGATCACTGCTATTTCCCACCAACTACCGGCCGGTCAGTCTGGCATGCATTTGCTGTAAGCTAATTGAAAGGATAATTGAAAAATCGATTTTATCGCTCGATACATTGCGCTGTAAAATCAGCTCAGTTCAACATGTTTTCCGTGAATATACATCCTGCCTTACAAACCTTACGTCGCTCGAAAATTGAGCAATAGCGATGGATGAAGGACATCCAGTGGATGCTACTTCTAATTCAGCAAGGCGTTTGGTTGCGTTCCACATAGGCGCCTTATTCGAAAGTTGTCAGACTTAGGATTAAAAGGACATCTCCTGAACTGAATTCAAGACTTCTGTAGAGAAAACGTTACTGTGAGTGCTTACTGTTCAGAATGAGCACCTGTCCAAAGTTGAGTCCTGCAAGGGTCAGTTCTGGGACCGCTTCCATTCATTATCTGTGTAAATGACCTGGCGCGGAAGCAAGATTGGCTATAGCGTTCTTTGCAGATTGTGTAGGGTGATGAAAGACAAAAGAGGCTTCCATATATGACAAAAGGATATAGACAGGCTGTGTGCGTGGAGCAAGAACTGGTGCATGAATTGCAATGTCAACCAGTGTGGCCTAGTGCACGTGATATCAGCAAGAGACAGAATAAATGCCTTCTCATGACAGTATGTCTTCAAAAATCGACCACTTGAAACCGTGATTGTGCATAAATACCTTGACGTATTTATCAGAGATGACTTAAGTGTCACATGGCACTGTTTTGAGGCCGTTGCGAGGGAAATTTAAACTACGTGTACGATAAGAAAATTTTCCAACTTGAATGTGAGGGTATTTTCAATAGAGTATATTGTGTTGTGGCGGATGGCCACGATGCCTGTTCCATCCTTCGTTCTCCAAGGCCCGCTGCCCCAAGGGCATGCTTTATCACAACTGTTCACATGCTTTCTTTCACTGGCACCCCGTTCCCCGAGGCTTGATCTCGCACCTGCTTCTGGCTAACCGATAACAGCTGCGCCAGCGTCCCCTGTCC